GGGGTATAGAGGAATATTAGTTTGTTAGTATGAAGGGATAGTATGGTAATTAGAATGGTAATTAGTTAGGAGAGTTGTTATAAATAAGGGTGGTAGAGAGATGAGGAAGATATCTGGGAGAATAGTATTTTGTGTAAGGAACTTGAGAGAGTTCTTGGGAGAGAGATAGCCCTCTCAAAAGACCATCGGTTCTTGTTAGGTTATTGTATTTGGGATCCTAACAGTGATGGATTCTCTAAAACTATTGGAGGATTGGAAGAAGTTCAAACTAACGTCGGAGACAACAGTTGATATGAATGGTTTGGCAGCAATCATCACAAACAGATGTTTAGAGACCAGCCTTATCGGGAAGCTCCTGTCTAAGAGAGTTATTAGTGGAGAATTTGTCAGCAAATTCCTAAAATCAGTGTGGAAGATTGAAAGTGGATTCACTATATAAGGATTGGGGGAAAATCTTTTCATGTTCATCTTGGAAGTGGACTGTGTAAGAATTTTTAGAATTGTTCCTTGGTTTTTTGATAAGTCACTGATAGTGTTTGAAAAACCAAATTCTATGGTCAAGTTGTCCGAATTGGAGTTCAAGAAGGTTTCTTTTTGGGTTCATTTTGTGGACCTGCCAATGGTGTGCATGAATAAAGCTATGGCAATTTGTCTCGGGAATGCTATTGGTTCGTTTTAAGGGGTTGAATGTGATGAGGACAACTGTTGTTGGGAGGGAGTCTACGAGTTCGTGTTTCCGTTGATATTCAGAAACCCATAAGAAGGGGCGTAAAGGTAAACCTTGAGGGTTCGATGAGAGGCGTTTGGATACCAATTAAGTATGAATGGTTACCAGATTTTTGTTACATTTGCGGGAGGTTGGGACACACCGAAAAGGGCTGCGAAGGTGTGTACACTAGACCCAAAGGTTTGTCTGGGGTGAAGGGGCAGTATGGGTGGTGGCTAAGGTATATTGGTGCTTAGAGCTTTGGTACAAAGGGTGGGACTAAGTCGGAGTCGTCTCTCAATTCTAAGATGTATCGGTAGAGGCTGCAAGACAGCCCTACTGGACGCCATGAAAACTATTTGTTGGAATGTCTGAGGGTTGGGAACCCAACGACATTCCAGGGCACTTGTGACTTTTTACGTCACCAAAATCCTCATGTATTGTTTTTTATTGAAATGAAGTGTTGTGACTTTACTACTAATAAATTGCAATTGCAAAATTTTTCTGGTTGTTTTACAATTCTGAACAGGGGCTTGAGTGGTGGTCTCTGTCTTTGTGGTCTTCTGAAGTGATTGTTGATATTTGTTCTTTCTCCAAAAATCATATTGATGTCGATATTGGTTGGAACAATTGTATATGGAGGTTCACTGGCTTTTACGGTCATCCAATTGCAAGTAAAGGCTACATAACATAGATGATTCCGCATGGCTAGAGGGGGGATTTCAATGAAGTGATGTGGGATGATGAAAAGTTTGGTGGAAGAAGTAAACGAGATTCTCAAATTGAAGTGTTCAAGGAAGCTCTAGATATGTGCAACCTTAGGGAGGTGGTAGCGGACAAAAATCATTTTATTTGGTGTAATAGAAGGAAGAAAAAAGATCAAATTTGGAAATGGTTGACAAATTTGTGTTTAATGAAGATTTCTCAAAGTTTTTCTTGATGAATGGAGTCCAGTCTTTTGAATTTAGTTTGATTTGTATCCGAAACTTAAGAGAAGGCGGAGGAGAGTCGTCCAGAATCAATTTAGGTTTGAAGAAATGTGGACAAGGCATCAAGATTGTGCGGACATAATCTCTTCTAAAAGGGATTGGCATACGTCCAAGGATGGGGCTAGTCTTTGTTGTCCAATCTTAAAGCTACATAAATTGACTTGCGAAGTTGGGGAAAACACATTTCCCGTTTGATTTTCTTTCCAATTAAGGAGTTGAAAAGGGCGCTAGCTAAGGAATATTCTAAACCCGTCGCCTTAGATTTTCAGGTGATCCATGGGCTTGAAGTCCAGCTTGATATTTTGCTGGGAGACGAAGAAATCTATTGGAATCAAAGGTCCAAAGAGGACTGTCTTAAATGGGATGACCAAAACACAAAATGGTTCCATAAAAAGTGTCTTGAGCATTGGATTGAAGATAAGGAAATAGAAAAAGCGTTCGTTTTGTATTTTCATAATTTTATCCACTCTTCGAATCCCTCTGAAGTTGATAATGATCATATTTTGAAGCAAATCACCCGCAAGGTAACTAGAGAAATGAATGATGATGGAACTCTTAGACATGCACAGCGGAAGCTAAGGATCATAATACACTTAATGAAGCAATTTAACTAAAATAAACATGCTTGAAAAAATGATGAAAAAGGTAAAGAGAAAGAGATTAACTTTATACCTTTGAAGACCTCCACTATAACTTCTTCTCCTAACTCAATGAGACCACCAACAACAAATCTGTGCTATCCTCGGGTTGATGAACACGGTTGTGGGACCGAATTTTGAGTGAAAACAAAGGGAAAACACTAATGGCTAGGAGAAGACAATAGAAATTTGAGTGGAAAAATTCTGCACTTATGCAAGGAAGCATAAGCCTTATCCAAGTAATCTTCATCACCTATATAAAGACCAAATGCATGCAAGGACAAGTCTTGCATGCCTTCCACTTCAAACTCCACTAGCATGTAAAAGATAGGTGTCATTGCCTTGAAGAAACACTTCAAAAACCACTAGTTAGTGGGAAAATCCAACAACTTGATTTTTTAAATAAAACTTTGATAAAACTAATTTTTATAAAAACAAAAATTGAAATATCAATTTTCTATTAAAACAAAAACCAAGCCAAATCAATATATCGTATTAATTGGTCTTTGACACCTAAGCTTGATTGATCACATTAATCAAATTACAACTCTTTTTCATGCTTTGAACTTATTTAAAACTAATTTAAATAAGTCATACTCTCCATAATAATTAAATGTCAATTAGATTATATATTATATCTCATATAAAATACAATATTCCCTTAAAAACTGAATTTGAACACTTCAAATTCTTGCTTCACCTAGTTCATCAATTTTATCCTTTATGAGCTAGCATGGAGACCCGTTGGACCTACAGATCATGGGCTCCAACGATTCGAGACTAACCGGTCAAACTCTTTAACTCAGCTAATCAACATTCGTAAACTAACAAGACTGTCCACTATAGCCTGTAGATGCACTCCCTTCACTGTAGATATATTTGTGTCCATTCGATATAACCGTCATCGGTAAGTTGATCCTTCACAGGTCGTTCGTAACCTCAGCTAGGTAAAAAAAAAAATCATTTTACCCTTGAGTTACATATTTTCTCCTTAAGTACCACTATCCCTCTAATGAACAATTGATTTATGATCAAATCACTAAATCCAATTCCTCTCGGGCCAGTGAGAGGATGGGACCCCTTATTCAAGACCCGGGATCAGCCCTTAAGGGAACAACCTCTCTACTATCCCTAAATCGGGTAGGAGTAAATTCCGTCTTGCTAATTCTATGTCCCCAGCTATCTACCCAGTCTTATCCCTGAAATGGGAGGCATATTGAGCAGCGCTGATGAGCTTACTCTCACCTATGCAGATCAAGGGAAAATCCTGAATAAATAGGAGTTCATAGATGGCTCAGGATTTAGATCAAATTATTTAGGTCATCGATAAACGAAATTAATCAGTGTTATCCGTAAACGGTGTTAATACGTAACAGTGATTATTTCAGGGTCAGTCTTACACAATCTCATTGTGTAGAAAACCCCACTCACATGTTTCTACACGAACGAATCAGGATCACTTTGTTTATGACACCTTATAACATTTGTAACAATCATAAAGCGGGCCGTATTCAATAGTGTCTCCAGGAAAAGGTACCCAACGTGATCCATGTACTATATAGACTGTTTAGGCTATGTACTTGAACTTGATCCAGTTTATGTCTCCACATAAAGTCCAAGTACTCATTATAATAGCCAAAAGTTCGTAGTTTATTGGATTTATTAAAAAAAACAAATTCATTTTCATTTAACAACACTTGTCTGAATAACCTCACATTAATGTTCACTGTTTACAAACTACGAGTTTTAGGATAGAATACCCAACAAATGATTACCGGAGGGCACCTTTTGAAAAAGTGGCAGTTGAAGGGGCTATTAGAGAAATGTTCACTAATAAAGCTCTGGGACCTGATGATTTTCCAGTTTTATTCTACTAGAAATACTGGGACATTGTAGGCCCAAAAACATTATAGAGTTGCTTGAATGTCCTTAATGGGAGAGGTAATATTTCAGAGTGGAATGCAAAAAATATTGTATCCAAAGATGGAGAAGCCAAGGTTAGTCACTGACTTCGGTTCAATTAGTTTCTGTAATGTCTCGTACCAAATTGTGACAAAAGCTATAGCTAAGTGTCTCAAGCGTGTTTTAAGTGAGGTGGTTTCCCAAAACCAGTATGCTTTTGTGTCAGGGCGCGCTATTGGTGACAATGTTATTATTGGACAATTCTAAATATTTTATTCTAACACGAAGGTGTAGATAAAACTTTTAAGAAACAAACTACTTGTACGTAAAAAATACATGCAACACTTAAACTACTTAAACTACTTTAGGTGGCAGAAGCTAGTCTACTATCTCTTTGAAACTCAAGTACAATCGGGAAGAAAAAACAAAAGATAAAAAATGAGCTGAAAAACTCAGTAAGTGGTTGGTTAATAAGAAAATAATATCGTAAAACTCCTTTTACAAACAATTGAAATTTTAAGCTCTATAAACATCAATAAACTAATACCATCATAAAACTCCGAACCATTATAAAACATCTTAAAACTCCTTTAGCTAAAACTCGATAAAGCTTTCTCATAAAAAACTTTTAATAAAACTTCTAGGACATTTGTAAAGTATCTTCTTTCAACATAAAACAGATTAGGGAAAGTTTCACACCACACATATACCCAGATTCTGGCCTACTGGTGTAGAATAAATTCAATACGCAAAGCAGAATATTCTAGTCTATCAACATTAGTTAATCTCAATATACATGGCAAAATAATTCTAGTCTATTGGTATAGAGTAATCTCAAATATACACTACAAAATAATTCTCTGAATGTACAAAGTCAAATGGTTCAAAAGACAATGACATATCCACGAAGGGACGGGGGGCACGTGCCCCCTAGATTTTGATTAAATTATATATAGTGTATTATTTGAAAACGACAACATTTTTTGTCTGTTGGCTTTTTTCTTGCACTTGTGTCGTGCCCCCTCGCCCCTCCATGTACTAATTCTTATTCTTTTAATTATATTTTTTTCAAAAAAACATGTTTTTTCATTTAAAATAAGTAATTTTAAATTTGGCTAATTAAATTTATATCATGTACAATATTTCTTTTAATAATTTTAAATTTATAATCCGAAACTTAGATGAGTATCATAAGGCTTATGTTCCTATTTAATTTCTGCCCATTCACCTTTAAAAAAAACATACTAATTCACCCATTAATTTGAAAAACAAAACTTGACAGAAATCTTTCAAAAAGATTACGTTTTTCATTTAAAATTATCTTAATTTTTTTAATTATACTTTTTCAAAAAATATGTCTTTTAATTTTAAATAAGTAATTTTAGTTTGGCTACATAATTTTTATGTTTCTATTCAATTTCTACAAATTCACTCTTTATATATAAAAAAAAATCTACTAATTCACCCATTAATTTGAAAAAAGAAAGAAAAAACTCAACGAAAATCTCAGTAATTTAATAAAAATCAAAATTTTCAATTAAGTTTGACTAAGACATAAAATGTACCATTAAATAATTAAAAAGAACTTACAAATTTAAGTTAAAAAAACCCAATTATAATGTTTATTTTTTAAATATGAATGTCATTTTTGTGTACATTCTATCAATTTGGTACCACATATATATTTTCTAATTTGATATATGTTTTCTAATTTATTTGACAAATATGAGAATATTTTTTTCAACAATGTTTCAAATGAAAATTTATCAGAATGTTAAATTTGCGACACCATTTTAAATTTAAGGGAAGTTTACAACATTTATACAAGTGTAAAGTGTAAAGTGCAAATTCATATTTATTTTTTAGTACAATACCGTGTGTGGATGAAGATTCGAACTTACGATCTTTTGGTCGGAGATAGATGACTTAACTAATTGAATTATGTGGAGGTTGGTATGAATTTCATACCTATTACAAAGCGCTTAAAATTGATATTTCTATTAAGTTTATATGCATTTGTGCCCATGACACAAAATTTTGAATCGAAAACCTCTTTCCCCATAAAATTCTCCATCTCATTCTAAAATTCTTATTTTCTTATTTTTGATAATTTTTCATACAAACTTCTACTTCTCAAAATATTTTGAAATCCTTCTTTCTAAGAACTTTTCGTAAACTTCTCAAATCGTTTTATAATCATTTATGAAATCGTTCTTTCTAACTTTCTCAAATATTTCTTTATAAGAACATTTCATAAAATTCTATTGGTCAAATCTAATATTACATAAAATTTTAAAACGATTTTAGAAATCTCTCCTATCTTGATTTCATAATCTTCAAACATTTCTCTAAATCATTCAAATCATTTATAAAATTCTTCTTTTTAACATTTGTCTAATTCAGAAAGCATGACTAGATTCTCGTATAAATACAACTTCTTTCGTCCTATATTAAACAATTGTTAAACCTCAAACATTTCTCTAAAACATAAAATATTTCTAAATTCTCAAATAAAATTGATTACTTTCCATCTCAGCAGAAATGATAACTACTCAAATTCTAGAGACTGTGACTTATACTACTCCCATTTCTGACTTGAAATATTAATCCAAACCAAGCTTATACTCTGCTCCAAATACATACCACTATCCATTTAACAACTCATTCGGGTAAGAAGTGGAAGATCTCTCATAAACGGGAGAAATTGTTGTGCGGGTGAAAGGGATGTTACCTGAGATCGACGACGTTTCTCTTTTACCAGAAGAGGCGAAAATTGAGGTACTCACAATTTAGCGAGGAGAGATCTACTGCAGCAGGAACATCGGGTGTGGATGGAGAGTTGGCCATCAGATTTGTTTTCCGTTTTGTCGAATGAGTGCCTGGATGCGTTAGGTTAATGTGGTTTCTTCATTAAAAACTCACTTTCCTTCCCTCTATGCTACCTTACAAGTAGGACCACAAATAAGTAATAACCATTCCATTTCTCTTCCTTCCACTTCCACGTAATTGCCCCCCAATTCCAACCATTTCTTTCTATTTTTCATATTTAATTTTAATACACAATTCCTTTTCTCTCTTCTAACAACAACCCACAAAAACTCCACTCTATCCGGGTTGGATCAGGTTAGATGAGTTTTAGAGACCAACCCGAAAATTCGAGTCGATCAAATCTGTTACCAGAAAGACTCGAACATAGTTTGCAACCCAACCCAACTCAAACTATATATTTTTAGGTCAGGTCAGGTTGGGTTCTCGGGTTGCTAAGAAATTTCATGCAGAGATGGGAGACCAAATGGGAGGAAGTTGGGAGATGGGAGACCAAAGGGGAAGGAGGCGAGGGAGGGAGTGACAAGACAGCCACGACGATGTCATCTCTAACAGTCACGATACACAGAGACTATGGGTGTTTAAAAAGCTCGACAACCCGATGAACCCAATCCGATTGGATTGGGTTGGGTTGGAAAAATCTCCCGACCGAGTTGGATCAGGTCTCGGGTTGACCCGACCCAAGATCCTATTTTTTTTTAAATATATATATATATATATATATATTACATATATAAATAAATTAATAATTAATAATTAATAAAAAATTTTACTTTTTTTTTATTCAATCTCAACCATCCATTTCAATTAAATCTCAACCATCCATTTCAATATAGATTTTAGGGTTTCATATCATTTCTTTCATCTCCTCCATTTTGATTCTGTCTCTAACCTCTTCCTCTCCTCCATTTTGATTCTCTCTCTAATCCATCATCCAACTTCAAGCTGTCTCTGTTTCTCTCGTAGTCGTTGTCTTTCTTTGTGCACAGCCAAAATTATTGTGATTTTGTTGCTGTAAAATTCGAAGAGGGTTTTTTTTCTTGGTTTGCTTATTCATTTTGTTCTCCGTTTTTTTTCTGTTGCTTTATATTTCTATCAATGTTTTTTAGTCCATGTTATAAACAAAACTAAAGTAAATTAATTAATCAATTAAAAAAAAAAGAACCTGACAACCCAGCTTGAATTTATTAGGTTGGGTTGGCTATCGTTTTACAACCCAGTTCCCACAAATTTTCAACCCGAAAATTCGAGTTGGTCCCAAAAACACCCTAACCTGACTCAATCCAACCCAACCCAACCCGTGAACNTTGAGCCTCTTTGATCGGAACGACGATGGAGTCTAGAGTGGCAAGAGAGAGAGGTGAAGAAGATGAGCGGAGATGAGGGAAGGGAGAGGAAGGAGAGAGTGAGAAGATGAGAGAGGATGAAGAACATGAGTGGGAGGAGGCGACTAACAACAAAAAAATCCTAATTGTTAATATATATATATATATATATATATATATTTTAATTTAATGATAGTTCGGTTCGGTTCGATTCGGATTGAACTGAAAAAAAAAACTTCCAACTTGTGAACCGAAATGAATTTTCCGTTTAAAAAAAATCCAATCTAACCCAACTTGAAAATTTTATGGGGTTAGATTGGGTTGTCCAACCACGAATTATTCCTCTGTTTCATTTTCTTCCATCCCCATGGTCTGCCAAGACCATTTGCAGTAGCTTCCTCTTCTTTTTTTTTCCCTTTCTTATCCTTCAAAATTTCACTTTATCTCTCTTCCTTTTCTCAACATTAAAACCACTGTCAGAAATCCAATACTTCCTAAAATTTCTATCATAAAACCTAAGAGAGTTAAAGAAATAATTTTAAATTCTATATTTGAAATCTAAGAAATGATTTTAATTTTTTTTTATGTTATTTGGAATAAGAATGATCGCCTGAATTGAAATGAAAATAAAAATTTTACTGATTTTGACTTTTAATCTAAATTTATTAATTAGAAATTAAAATATAACAAAGTTAAATAGATAATTTACTTTGAAATTATTCTATGCAATTCTGTAAAATCCGATCAGAATTTTTTTTAGGTAAAAACAGGATTTGAAATCCGGCATTCAAAATCATGTGGTACCAAAAAGCAGAATTCATTTGAAATTCTTCAAAATTTGAGGTAAAAAAGAGATAAATTATAAGTAGATTGTACCTTCTCTATAAATTCAAATATCATAAATTCGTTCTCAGGCATACCCATAAAAAAACTAAGAGAACTTATTTCATAAAACCCACAATTTTACATCAACAAAAATCCTATAATTAAGGGATTCTCAAATTTAAATCTCTAGAAATTTATCCAAATTCCAACCTCCAATCTCGACACTGGTTCAAAATTGCATTCATTTTTCCTGTATTCATCAAATCGATTGCTTCATTTCCCCCTCCTTTTTCTTCTCCCACGAATTCACCCAAATAGAACATCTTTTCTTTCTTCTTCTGTTGTTATTTTTCTTTATTATCCTTTCAATTTTTAGGTCACATGCATGTCACACATATGTCCCTCCACAAACTACTCCCCAAATATGGTGTTTTTCTCAGACAAATATGCTCTTACATTTTTAAACGTTTCAGAAAACTGATTTTTCGTGACATGATCTCGTTTTTTGTGGGAGAAGATGGAAATTTTCAGATTTTGCGTCATTTATGACGTTTATGAAACATCACGAAAAAAGAAAATAAAGATTCCTTGACGTTTAAAAAACGTCACGAAAGGGTGCATGCATTTTTTTTTTGGCAAGAAAAGACTGATATTTATGAAATTTATGTCATTTGTTCTAAACATCGTGAAATGATGTACCGTATTTTTTGACATTAAAATCTTTCCCTATTTATGTCATTTTTTTAAATGTCCCGATAAGTAAATATGAGATATATTTTCTTTTATGTAATTTAAGTTTAAGGATTTTGGAAAAGACATTTTGATTTAAATGTTAACCCACAAGCAATTAAAAATTTTATTTTTGCCTTTTTTTTATTTTATTTATACATGTATAAGTTAAAAGAGATAATATCTTGGGAGAGCTATTTTGAAATCTTAATTACATGAATGTCTTTAGATTCCAAAATTTACACTTTTAGATATTTGCAGTTAGGATTTTATTTTAATACCGTTTCTACCCTTATTTATTGCTTTTTATTTTATTATAATTTTTAAATTTTAAAGATTTGAATCCTTAATTTGTAATTATATTCATTTAATTCTTGTGGGCCCCATTCAAAATTTCAACCTTAATTCCTCAAATCTCTCTTTCAAAAAAGATTTTTTTCTCTCACCAATTAACAACTCCCAATTTTGTTAAATGAATATTTTTGCTGCCGATTCTCTTTCCTCGTTTGCTGCCGATTTTCTCCAGCCACCGTGCAAAGCCGATTTTCTTCACCGCTGTCTTCGTTTCCAAGGTGCAAAGACGTCGGCTACCAGACCTTCATTTTCCATCTTCACGGCTTTATGAACAAGGTATTTATTTCTTTTGCACGTTTCCAACACCGTTCATTCCCGTCGACATCTTTGCAGGTTTCCAACGCCGTTCATTGTACACCAAATCAACGAGGTATTGATTTCTTCTTCCCCAGACACGTCCAAACCTTCAATTTCCGTCGCTGAATAAACTTTCTGTCGACGTCTTTGGACGTTTCCGACGTCGTTCAGCGCGTTCCTCGTCTCCTGTCCCCTTCTGTTTATACCATGGGTAATTAATAGTCTTCCGTTGAGATTGGTATATATTGGGATATATTTTATGTATGTGTATAGAAAGCTGAAGTTCTTAGAATTAACATATAAGTATTCCTGATTATATTCGTATATATGGGTATATATTGTATATGTGTATATAACTTATATGTGTATATATCTTTTAGTTATATATAAGATATATACACATATATCTTATAGTTTTGTAGAATGGGTCCTTCAAAATTGAAGTTCTAAACGTCTCATGGTCTAGACGGTTATTATTATTTTAGATTATTAACAATTAAGTATTTATTTGTATATTTCTAGGATGTAGTGTATACACCATGAACGATTTTTAAATTAACTATTATTATTGATATAGTGAAAAATAATATATATTTATATTAATATTGTTTTATAAATGTCACATAGGTAGCAATTCTATTCTCGTGCGCATTCTTCGTAGTGGATTTTGGAACAACAGAGATAATTACGTAGAATATAAGGTTTCCGAACTAAGTGTACATCAGGACATGTCATACGCCAATTTGRTGGAAGAAATAATGAAAATTTTGGGATTGGTAGGTAGTTCTGATTATCCTGATGTATTTGCATGCGTTGGAACCATTCAGTTTATTAAGAAGGATATGAAAATATCAGATGACAAAGATGTGCATTGGTTGTACAATATCATTTCTAATGGTGCTATCCAATGCTGTAGTTTAGTTGTCGATTGTAGAAATTGTCTTTCTAACATATTAGACCRCATGCCTATTAATACTTCAAGTTCTATGGACAATGGTATACAGTCATTTGGTCAATTTTATCGSTYCATTGATGTTGCCAATATTTCGGCKACTTTCCACATTRAAGTGAATGACAAGTTYTGTGGAAAGCGTAATTTACAGAATGCATTRAGGTCTGTTGCTATAAGASATAATTTTYAATTTAGGACTGTGAAATCCAATCGTGAAGTACTTATTGTTYGTTGCTTGACTAACAACTGCCARTGGTTTCTTCATGCTTCAAAGTTTGGAGATAAAGGAAGCGAGATTTGGATAGTAAAGAAATTTGTACACGAACATACATGTTCTCTTGAAATAGTACTTAACGATCATCGGCAAGCAACTTTTTCTGTTATCAAGGAGTTTATTAAGGGTAGGATTAACATRTYTGGCACYGATTTGCCTAGTGTTAAAGATRTTATATCCCATGTGCATAGAGAACTCGRTATTAGTATCAACTATCAAAAAGCATGRCRTGCAAGAGAATMTGCCATAAAAGAAATTAGGGGATCACCTGAGGAKTCTTATGCATTGATCCCTTMTTTTTGTCATATGATTAAAKTGAAGAATCCAGGTATRWTTTTATTCMCTTATTTACACTATATAAGTKTATTATAGCAATATATTATATAATMTAATATATACGTAATGTTACAGGTTCAGTTTGTGATTTTAAARTTGACAATAATGGAAGGTTCSAGTATMTTTTCATGGCTWTGTCGTCTTCTATATCTGGTTGGAAATATTGCYGACCTGTTATTTCAGTTGATGGAACATCAATGAAGAATAAGTATGCTGGCACCTTGATATCAGCTTGCACTTTAGACGCGAATCATCAGATATTCCCKTTGGCRTTTTCTGTTRTGGATTCTGAGAATGATGCTTCATGGGTTTGRTTTTTTGAACAGCTAAAACGATGTATTGGTGTTCGTCAAGACCTTGTAATTGTCTCAGATAGGCACAAGAGTATAGGCAAATCAGCTGAGAAGGTTTTCACTACTGCTTGCCATTGCATATGCGCGTACCACCTCTTCAAAAACTTGAAGTTGAAGTACAAGGATAAGGTTTCGGATAATTTATTCTTCCCATGTGCCAAAGCATACAATGTTGAGGATTTTGAAGATAACATGCGTCTTTTAGATTCTACTGTACGAGGCATACGTGAAGAATTATCGGTCATAGGTTTCTCTAAATGGTCGTGTGCTTTTTCTAGTTCGTCCAGATACAATTTTATGACAACCAACATTTCAGAGAGTCTAAATGCTGCCATGAAAGATGCAAGAGAATTACCAATTACTTCCATGTTAGAAGTTGTGCGGATGATGTTGCAGAGGTGGTTCTATGAGCGTAAGAACCATGCCGATTTTCAAATTACTGAATTCACAAAAAGTGTTGAGAAAAAGTTAAGAGAACAAATTTCAGATGGTCGTACAATGCATGTAAGTTTTCCTAAGCAGTTSTACCTTTAATATATGTTTGTACTCTTAAATAATTAAAAGCTGACTTTTTGGTATTTTTTTAAAATTCTTTTAGGTTTATGCTGTCAACAACGATATTTATCAAGTAATTGATAACCATAGACAGGTTGAGGTAATACTTTCAAAAAGAAGTTGTTCGTGTCGTAAGTGGGATATCGTTAAAATACCTTGTTCACATGTCTGCGCTGTACTGACTCAGAAGCATTTACCTACAAAAGGTTACGTCTCCTTGTACTATTCAAACAACTATTTACGTTCCACGTACAGTGGAAGTATACACCCATTAGGTCATCAGTCAAGTTGGAATATCCCTGAAGATGTGAAGATTATAAAGATGCTTCCTCCCAATGTGAAACGTCCTGCTGGTAGACCAAAGAAGTTGAGGATTTAAACATGCATTAGAATTTAAACGACGTGTTAAATGCAGTCGTTGTGGTAGATATGGTCACAATAGGAAGTCGTGCAGATTTTCTCTTACGCAATAGTTAAACATTGATTCGTATGTTTTTTCATGTTTTTTTTTTCATCATAAAACAATTTGATATGATTGTTTTTAATTTCAGTTATATTTTATTCAACTGAAAAATTCCTTTCATATATTAAGTCTACAACTGCGTGTTTTATATTTCCCCATATCAACACTGTAAGTTATATCCACACATATATACCCAATGCACACATATGTCACATATCTCACTGTAAGTTATACACATATATATATCCATATACCCACAGATATCCACAGATATATCAACTATAATATTAATTTAATAAAACAGACTATAAAATATATCCCCTTGAAAACAGCCATTTCAGATATGCGATTAATATCCATTCGAATCAGTCTACTAGATTAGCCAAGTAAGACAACTTACTAATTGTCAATAGTTCAGTGTCTAGTCTGATATAGTCAAGTAATTCCATACATTTATATGTCACAGTATTTAACACTAAAAAAAGTATTGGATCCAATGGTTTATAATTTAGTAGTTACCATAAAAAAAGTTTCAATATATCCAATATAGCTAGTTCTCAATTAAGAAGTCATAGTATTCCAGTACATAAAGTTAATAATGAACACTATAATTAACTAACACAACAAAATTCGGTCATGTACTTCATTACATAAAGTCAATCAAAGTTGTGATAACAGGTTGAAAGTTGGAGCATCAAAATCTTCAATGCTTGATAGCTTTGATTTATGATCTTCAGCTGAACCAAACTTTGTAGTGTATGGTGATCTATTAACCTTAGAAGGCATCACCACTCTACGTTTTGTTCGTCTCAATGGTTCAACTTCCTGATCTTTCAATATTTTTATCATTTTTCCGTTCCCCCCTTTCTTGAACGGACCTGTTCCTCTCAACTGCACATCAAAATATTTGTATATACATATAATATAACTGTATATGTAGCAATGATAGAACCAGAGCAAGTATTACGAAGAAAAAATCTAAACGTAAGTATTATGCATCAACAACTTGGTTGACACTATTTAAGAATATTCTATATATTATATACAACAATATCCGTATACATTGAACTAACCAATACATCCAACGACATATTCATTGGCATCTAATAGCATATTAGTTATCAACGATCTTAATTCTAATACTAATTACAGCATGGATGTAAACCACAGAAAACCAGCAAACCTTTTTTTTGCAAGCAGCATATTCTATTCTATCAACCTCATTTAAAAAATTAGTGCATACGAACTCATCCTCCATTATTTCTTTAACTCCGAGTTCCTTGCAAAAATGTAAAACATAGTAAATATCATTGCACATGTCTTTCACACTTCATGAACATTAATCAAATAAGACTATAGCTATTGTACGATGCATTTATTTTAAATACTCACGTTAATATTATCTCCATCATTCTCAACAATAGTAGTAGCTCCATTATCCCTTGATCCATTGTCTTTTTGTTGATCTTCTTCTGAATTTTCAGCATGTTGTCCACCACCCTCACTGCCGCCATTGTTACCATCCCTTCCACCCCCACCTCTATCTCCGTTCCCATCCTCCTTTCTGATAACGGCTATATTCTCATCCACTATTCGTTTAACGCTCTCAATCTCAGAAAATAGTGTATTGATTTTGCAATTCATATTCTCAAGACTACTTAATACCATCTCTTTAAATTCTTCAAAGAATGGAGGAATATAGCTTCCTTTCAGTCGAAAATGTGATGAATTCATATTTAATGTTTCACCTTCCTCAAAAACTCTTGTTTGTCCATCATCATCTTCTTCAAACATAGTTTGAAACTCAAATTGTATTAAAATTAACATATAATTATTATAGTCATCAATATACATACCTAAAGAAAGCACAACTAAAATTTTAAAAATTATGCATTTATAATACCTCTTCAGTCTCAAAAACTCTAATTGCTAGATCCCGCCACTCCGGTTGTGCGTTCGCCTCCCAATTTACCATCTTCTGTATATCTGTAGATACGTGTTTGGCATATTTTGTTTCCCAAGAAGAAAGCAATGGTATGCACTCATATGCCCAAATAAGCAATGCTAACGGCATTCCAGAGAGTCCCACAACAGATGTATCTGGATTTTTTATTGCTTTCTTTATAGAATCTGTTTATGCAAGGATATGCACAACAGTGTATTTCCGATTGCAGCTCGAACTCGGCCCCCGGACCGATCTGAATACCTGGGGCGGACCTGCACAGAAAGGTGAGCACTCCGACGATCCAGTCAGTACAGGTCGGATTCTTAGTTTAGTTCGAGGTCAGAAATCATCGTACCTGATCGTGGAGTGAGGTTCTCTACTTATGGGTGGTAGTCCCGCTAATCTCGCGACGGTTACACCCGGTAATCTCGGGACCGTCGGTTACACCCGATAATCTCGGGACCGTTGGTTACACCCGATAATCACGCCGCTGACAGCAGCTCACATCGGCCCCTACCGAGCTTCCCGGTAGGTCGGACCTTGGCCAGGTTCACCTCGGCCCNTGTACATGTCTCCATTCTCCGATATAATATCATTTTTAGAGATGTTCTCCTTGTCCTGCACGATTCAATTTATAACAAATAAGATCACATATTTCGACTCCTTGACAATATACTGAATCATAGCATAAAATGACATTTACCTTTATCATATCTCTCTTTTTTCCTTTTATCCTTGCATCCACACTTCATTCTGTAATTCAATCAAGATTAATATAATCAATATCCATAAGAAAAAAAATTTAGACGTAGAAGCATTTCAAAATTACCATAATCACCTTTTCTTTGATCGTATCATCTTTTTTCTTCTTCCCCTTAATTCCCGACACGTTCTTTGCTCTTCCCACACCCCTTTTCAATTTTTCCAATCTTTCAATTATTGAGATTTCGTCCTCCTGCATTTTTCAAAATTCAAATTAGAATGTTATTTGAAAAGATAGGACTAATAATAATGCTTCAATACCTCAAATTCTTCTCTCTCTTTCCTCTTCCCTTTTCTATCATCCACACTATCTAGTATTACTTTTTCCTCTGTTATTTCCTCAATACGAGGTTGATCGGCACGCACCTGTAAATATCATATACATATATGCATATAATGGTTAACGATTGTGTATCTTTTCAAAGAGTGAATATAAAAAATATCCATATGTATTACCACAACAGGAACTATTTGAGTTCCCACGACTTCTTCTTCTTCACTTGGAAACTCAACTGTAGGTTCGCATCTACTAACTTCACTCTCAATTATGTCCTCTCGTTTAGGTGAAATGAATATTTTCGAGTATTTAGCATAACGTGGCATATTACCAAACAAATTATTGTAAAATGCCGACTTCGATGTTTGAGCTTCCTTTACATTCTTTTCTTCCTCAGTGCTCTCCTAAGAGCACACCGATTGAAAATTGTCAAAATATTGCAACCTACATAATTCTTCGAAATAATATAATAAGCAGTATTGCATACCTCTTCGCTAAGTTTAACATATAAAGGTTCTTTGTTCTTCTTGCTGCCAGATTGGTTCATTAACCTATTACTTCTTCTTATTTCTTTCTGTTTTGGTACACCCTTGCACTTCACCATGTTAATGTAATCAAACAAATATATACCTACATAAACCATGGAAAATACTAAATATATTCCTCATATAAACGATCTTCGATTATGTATACAATTTATACCTCATACAAAATATATTCCCATATATACAAACAAATACTTCAGAATCATTTATGTTTATAATTTAATCTACATCAAAGAATATCCAATCACCAAATGAACCACTTTATAACAACAACTTGACACATTCATAAAGCATATGAATGTAAGCACCATTGGCACACCTTCAAGCAATTACCAAAACAACAAATCATTTTAGAAGTTCCAGAAACCCAAATATTTGAATGGACTGAGATTGTTAACATATCTTATATACTAGTAACTATAAAACGAATACAAATATAAGTTATATACCCATATATACAATATATGGGTATATATATTCCCATATAAAAATATGAACGACTCTCTTAACTTATCAGTAAGATATATAAGATTTATATTAATATAATGAATATATCCCCATATATTCAATATATTCTGCTTCAATTAACGTAATCATAAATCAGAAAACAATTGGAAATAACGCAGTCTTCACAACCTAAACTTTGGATAAGGTCATTCCAAGGAGCATGAATACATAAACACAATTCATTTTCCATAGGCAAATAAACGATATTCAATTAAGTATACAATTTATACCTCATATACAATATATTCACATATATACAAACAAATACTTCAAAATCATTTATGTTCATAATTTAATCTACAACAAAGAATATCCAATCACCAAATGAACCACTTTATAATAACAACTTGACAAATTTATAAATCATATGAAAAAAAGCACCATTGACACACCTTCAAGAAATTACCAAAACAACAAATCATTTTAGAAGTTCCAGAAAACCAGAAATTTGAAATCGATTCAGTTATATACACATATATACAATATTGGAATGTCGCCTTATATACTAGTAACTATAACATAATTACAAATATAAGCTATATACACATATATACAATATATACGCATATATACGAAATCGATTCAGAATGCATCACCTTACTATTGGAATGTCGCCTCAAATGTCGCCTGCAAAATTTCGTTCTCCGACGGTAAATGGAGGTCTGAAACCTACGAATACGGCAAATGGGATATAACTGAAGCATTTCAACAATGACGGAAGTACACAGACGAATTGTGCAGACGGAAATTGAAGCAGACAAAGCAAAGACGACGGCTGGAAACTTACCGATACAGCTTCCGACGAACGCGGCGAAGTCAGACCGGAACAGTCACGGCGGACAAGGAAGACGACGACCGACGAACGGTTACACAACCCATAGACTACCGCAGACGGAGGAAGCGTAAAATGCGGAGAAAAAAAATCGTTGGACGTTTTAGACGGGATTTGGGGATTTTTGGGGGGTTTTCAAATTTGGTTAATTTAGGGTTTTCTTTTTAATTTTTTTGATTTTTAATCTATTTTGGAAAGTATCATTAACCTTAAATTATGAGATCCAAATTATAACCTTCCAATTAATCAATTTTGCATCTTTAAATGAATTAAAAATTAATTTGTAGATACATTAGGGTATTTAAGTAATTTATGTGATGGATACCCTCATAAATAAGGTTGATACATGACAAATGTGTAAATTCTATACATTCCATCCTTTTATGTAATTAGGATCTTAAAATAGCTCATCAATCTACAAATCCCATAAAATTATAAAAATTGAAAAATGCGTTTGTAAATTGTAGTTGTATACATTTTGCCGCCAAATTCGGGCCAACGCCTGGCCAAACCCCCGACGCGTCGCGTAACGCTAATGGAAATGGAATGACTTTGCATTTTCCAGCGCTGCGCATCTCCAATTGGTTCTTCTCTCCCATCTGTCCTCCAAAATTGGGGACTTAAATTTCGGCGTCATGTAAGAAATCTTCTCCTTCCGCTGAAACCATCTGTGTCAAATTAACTCTGGTTTGCCCTTCCCGACGTCTCTGGCCACCGAGTTCCTCTTCTTTTCTTGTCGAAACTTAGGTTTTCGGCCGTGAAGAGGAGCGATGGGGATTCTCTATGGAATGGTGGCCAGAGGACACGTCGTTTTGGCGGAGTTTTGCGCTACGCAGACCAATGCGAGCGCCATTGCGAGGCAGATAATGGAGAAGATGAAGCAGGGAGACGATGATAGCAATGCGTCCTATTCTCATGATCGCTACATCTTTCACATCAAGAAGACCGATGGCCTGACCGTTCTTTGCATGGCCGACGAAGCCTCTGGAAGTAAGCCTCCTTTTGAATGATTTTTAAACTCTCAAGTTTTTCTGCAACTTAGTTCGAAATTCGAATCCAGCGAGCCGGCGAGGTATGGTTCCTAATTGAGATAATAATAGGTTGCTTTAAGTGAGATTTGAGGATCGACAATGCGTTCTGAGAATTTGTTTGTTTGCGATAGTTTTTACAATGTTATCATTTCAATGTGGTTCCTGATAAGCGATTTTGACCTCTTTGCATCGATTTCGAATGATATTGGGAGAGAAATTCTGATGACTTCAATGTCTTCCTCTTTCTATCTGTTCAAACAAAGTGGTTGTGTAACAATGGTAGGTGCAAGTCACAAGCCAAAAAAACTTAATCTATCGGTTCGGCTGTTAAACCAAACATTCGTAAGTTCACTTTTTGTGTTGTAATTTTATGTTGATCGAATTTCATAGTTCCTGAGGGCAGAAAAAACTGTTTGCTCGAGGCAGATTTGTTTTAAATCATTTCTGGATTAACAACATGTATAATAAATGCCTTATACTTCAGTTTTTAGACCATACAAGTATTTTGAGGAAGTATTGAAGGTTGCCTCTAAAAATTGGAAAGAAACTTGTGTGAGAAAGTGCATTTCTGTTTTGTTTTCGTTTGTTAGTTCAATTCCTTGAAACAGAATGCAACCAGTTCGAAACTTTGTTTAAGCAGTAGATGCTTTTATTACGATATCAGGCTTTAGTTCTTGTTGAGCTCTCGGAGATTATTCAGAGCGAGAATTCTCGATTTGAATCTACTTGTTTGCAATGGAAATTTTCTTTATCTGTATTAAACGAGTACTATCACTTAGTTTACTAGCTTTCATTTTTTTAATATCTAACTCTTATTCAATTTATCAGTTTCACATTCAACGTGATCAGAGAGTAGCATTCTCATTAACCGGTGATACTTTCAATACTTGTGCAGGGAGAATTCCTTTTGCATTTCTCGAAGACATTCACCAAAGATTTGTGAAGACTTACGCTCGTACAATTCTCTCAGCTCCTGCATATGCCATGAACGATGAATTTTCAAGGGTTCTAAGCCAACATATGGACCATTTTTCCAACGATCCAAATGCAGATAGGCTGAACCGCTTAAAAGGTGAAATGAGTCAGGCAAGTTCCGAAAATTGTCTATTGGACTCTGTTTGATCTAAGTTGTTCATCCTATGGATATTTTGAGCCTTTGAAACAATGGTTCATCGTGCTTACCAAAATTCAGCTAATAGTCGTTGCTGTTTTGTACTGTCTCTTAGTCTAAGCAATTGATTTAATTAGCATCACCAGAGTACGTAAAATAAATACTTTGATGGTAGATAAGAAAATTTCTAATGATCCAATTGCTGATAGGCTAAACTGCTTCAAATGTGTCAGGCAAGTTGACAAAGCTGTCTAGACTCTGTTTTATCCAAGTTGTTTTCCTAAGATCTTTTGAAATAATAGCTCCCTGTGCTTTCTAAAATTCAGCTAATTATCGTTACTGCTCACCACTGATTCTTAGCAATTGAATTAATTAGAATCAGAGGACGTTAAAGAAAGACTCTGTTGATATATAAGAATTATTATCTGATGGTTTTTTGTAGGCCAGAGATTAGTTTTACATTCTTTATGTTAGTTTACGTTCTCTCTTATAAACACTTATAATCTGCGTAAGACTGCTAAGCTATAGAGTAATATAACATTTCAGTTTTATCAATCAGTTCAGGATAAAAAGAGCCCTATTATAGTTAAAATAACTGTATTTAAAGGAAGCTAGTTCACATCGGGCCAGTATCTGGTTTCACAATTTGTTAATTCATCATAGAATAGTATTTGATGACAGGTGAGGAACGTGATGATAGATAATATTGACAAAGTATTGGAGAGAGGTGACCGCTTGGCTTTGCTGGTCGAGAAAACTACAAATATTCAAGGAAATGCAGTTCGATTTAGAAGGCAATCACGTCGCTACAGAAACACCTTGTGGTGGAGAAACTTCAAACTTTCGTGAGTATCTTTGACAATATTCATATAGGTTTTAGAAACTCACTCAAAAGACGTGTGAATTACATGCATATATTATATATATAAGGCTATTATGTTTTCTTTCACGTTGTTCCTTTAAATTGAAATGCGACTTCTTTATTTACTGCTTTTGCCATGATTTCTAGAATCATGCTACTGAGCTTGGTTAGATTGGATAATACACCCCTCAAAATAGGGGGTGCTTATTGAACTCTTAAACTTTTGAGTTAGAATGGATAGCAATTAGCATAAATGGTAGAATAAATTAGCAGAGTTTTGATACCACTTGTAGAAGAAATTAGCGCAAAGGAAAAGAAAATCTCTTGAGGAAAGAAACTTTTATTAGAAAGAATTTGAGAGAAGACTCACTCTCTAACTCTCTAACTCACTTTCCTCACTTCTTTCACTCACTTCACTTGCCTCAATTTCTCACATTACTCACTTGATTGATTCACCTACGGAGACATCTCTTATTTATGGGAGAAGAGTTCTTGGCAGAGTCCAAACAAAAAGAACTTTATAGGCTCCTTTTAAATCTTACATATTCTAGATGCTTCTAATCTATTCTTATCTAAAGGAACTCTCTAGAATTTCTTGTGGCCGGAGGGAAAAGCTAAGATACTTCTAGAATTTCTTTTTACATACCTATTAACAATCTTTAAGAATAATGAAAGAGATATGTAGAGACTACCATGAAGCTTCTAGATAGTTAGTGCTGTATTTTAATATAAATCTCGTTTTCAGTATATTCTCTAGTCATAATTAAGTAAAAACTCATTGATAGTTAAAACTAATAACTAAAAGACTGTCGAGATTAAATTTATTGTACCTAATTATAGCTCAACTGGTTAAAATATCAACCGAATGACCTTCGTATGTTTGTTGAATAAAAAAAAAATTTAAAAAAATAAAACTGAAAAACTGTACCACACAAGTGCTAGTTGGTGGATCTGTTTCCATCTATCATTCCGGCCAATTGATGGAAGAAGATACGTCCGAACGTTCCCTGAAAAATCTTTTGTCATTATATTTGTGAGTCATTTTCATCAGTTTCTGACCCCTTCTCCCCCTCCACTCGCACTGAACCCAAAATTTCCTATTTGCATAAACTGGGAAATTCTGCGTATAAATGAGGAGAACAATAATCAACGTGCGTTTTTCCTGCAGATGTTCGTTGTTTTTCATTTTTACGATGGTCCTCTATATTGTGCTAGCATTTTTCTGCGAAGGACCCCTCTTGCCGTCCTGCTTGAATTAAGTGAATGCAGAAGAGAAGACGCAGCTAAGTGACCTTTACCACTTGTTCGAAAACACGTGCCTTATTGTATCTAAGTTGTGCACTGAAATATATGCAGTCTAAATCTTGTCCTGCAAAAATTTACGCCAACTTTTGTGCAACCATCGGTATCCCATGCTTGGTAATAGGCGCTGGAGGCATCAGGTTCCTCGTGGCTAGCAGAAAGTCATGGCATTCTTCGGTAAGATACGCAAATCTGTATTCGCTTTATAGTGTTCCACTGTCTGCCCTTAAAATTAATTTCCTAGGGGTCATTTCAATTTTCAATACATTTTTGTTTTTTTTTTTTATTTTCTATTTCTATAAATCATATTTATTTGAGTCTTTTTCTTTGCTTTCTAATCTATTATAAGATTACTCCATAAATCATAGCCAAATTTTAAAATGTAAGAATTATAAAACATATTCTTTGTTTTTAAAATTAGTTAAAACGCCAAATTTTAAAATGTAAGAATTATAAAACATATTCTTTGTTTAAGAACCTATTTTTTAAAGTTAAAAAAAAAAAAGCCTACGTAATACTAGCAATGGATATCTACTTTTTAAAAATGTTTTCATAGTATGGCAAAATTTTGAAAACTAAAAATAGACTTTGAAGTGTTATTTTATTTGTTAAATTTGACCAAAAATTCAAATATGTATATAAGAACAATGAAAGGCATACCACATGAATGGTGAATTTTTGAAGTGAACTTTTCATAAAAGAGACCTAAGATTTTGAAAACATTTTTAAAAAGCAAAAACCTAAAGGCTCGTCTGTTTCTTGTTTCTCGTTTTCAATTTTCTTAAAAAATCTAAGTATTTTTCAAACTTTGTTTCTTGTTTCTCATTTTGTAAGAATATTCTCACAATTTTATAGAAATTTTGGAAACAACTTTCTCTTTTCTTGTTCCCATTTTCAATTTGTTTCAAAACATAAATAAAAAAATTATTTTATCAACCTTAATTCTTAGAGGTTGAAACCATATAATATATTTTTCTTCATTAAAAATAAAGAAACAGAAACAATAAACTGGAACATTACCAAAGAGTCCTAAACGACCAAAATAAAGATACAAGTGACATCATAAACCGAAGAAAACCAAATCAAAATCATTATCAAGAAACCGGATAACCATTAGTTTGGAAATTCAATTAGGGGAATAATAAATGTGCTAAATTCTACTAGAATCCCAACACCTTATCAAGAAAACATATGCACAAAATCTATACTTGAATTTTTTTTTGAATGTTCTTTTCTTGAATTTTTTTTCTTTTTTTTTTAACTTTAATTTTTGAAAAAATAAATATTGGGGTGGGAGTTGGGGAAATACGAGGTGTTCTAGTGGTTATGGTCCCACCTGTCTAATCAAACTCATCCACATTAAACCAATCACTTGATTCTCCTTCTGAATCTCTGTCCTGCTTCGACGTCGTATGCTGAACCAGCTTCGAGTCCAAATTTCCATGCAGCTTAACCCAACCACCAGACTCGGCTGGGGATTTTGTTACAGAAAATCTTCCAGAAAAATCCGAACCGTCGTTCTCCATATCACTGAATGAGATATCTTCGAGCCCAAACCTTTCTTTGGCATCTCTAGAAGATTCTGAATCTGCCTTTTCCAATCCCTCACTCCCCTTGATGATCTGAGTCGAGATTGCTTTTTCCCCAGGTGGCATATTTCCTTCTTTCGTGCCACAAACCGAATTATTAGTAGAAATATGGTCAGAGTTCACTTGTGCTCTCTTTTTTCTTTGATGCATCTCCAGAAGTATGTTTCTTGCTTCGATAATCTATCCGAAAAGAATAACAATAATGAGGGTGTCGCATTATTAATCTGAAACTTCAAGTAAAATGAACGTGGGCATCTGAGTTTGACTTTAGTCCTATCATTTTATTTGAACATTAAAGACTGGCAAGGAGGAAGCCAGCTGAAAAGATAAAAATACAACAATAAGCTCATAACGGAAGAAGTTTAAAGTCACGAATTTAAGAGATCTCTATGCAATCATGGTAGTCAAGTCATAGATTGCAAAAACTACAGGAGCCATGTGCGTATAGTAGGGATGTTTATCAGTTCTCAAATCGAATTGGACTGACTTGAACCCAATTACAGTCCAACAAACAATGCTTTGTTATTCCAACCATAAGAAATGATCAAACCTAACTGGTAAGTTTGAATCAATTCAATTCCATTTATTTTACCATTATGATCTCTCTCACACATCACATGTAGGTGGAAGATTACGGATATTCAATTTTTAAGCTAATATCCGAATGGGGATCAAAGTTATATTAAAAATTTTTGCATTGATCTAGCATGAAAAAGCAGTACAATTCTACATAGAGTAGTTGCAATCATAGAACCACAGAGAATGCAAAAATATCGAAAGCAAGAAATATGTAGGATATGCGATATAATACGGCCAGACAGAAAGCCACAAGATGATTCTAGCGCAGCAGAAGATCTAAAATTATGCAAAATATGCAGTGTGCGGCAGTTTAAAAGGGAAAATAAGTCTTACTTGAGGGCTTGATAGAAGCTCAAAATCATGTTCATTGAATCTTGGAAGCAGCATTGAAAAATAAATAATCCAGAATAGTTCATTGCTCATCAAACTCTGAAGCTTTATTCTAAGAGCTGATATATTTGGAATCAATTGTTCCACAGTTGAAATGTGTATTCTCTGAACGTCAGACATTTCAAAATCTGCAATAAAGCTAATCAAAGTATTATGCTAATACTGAATGAAAAATCAAAGCTAATACATACAATAGAAACTTGCACATACAAATTGCCCACGTCATGAAATCCTCATCAATTACCACGGCCAATAGGAAAGTTGCAGTGATTAAATATAAAGGTATATTCATGAATTCTAATGCTGACGCAAATAGCAATCCAATTTATTAACCTTCATGCATCATACTTTCGTCACGGTCGATCGATTAATAATTTGGTGAAAGCTCACTCAATCGGAAACACAAAATAAAATGAGAATGAAAGAAAAATTGAGAGGACAATCAAAGACATGATATTACCAACTTGCTAGAAAATATGTACATGTGCTTTCTCATAAAAGATCCAAAGATCATGCGGTATACTTCATAAATTCCTCTCTTTTTCCTATAAAAGGTTCTCTAAATTTTCTTGTCTCCTAGTTATTAAGAGGGGAAGATGACAGAAAATACAGCCTGCATTTTTTAGAATTTTTCTTTTTGATAAGAAACAGAGAAGTATTATTAATCACAAATGGAAGAAACGGCCTTAGCCTCGTATTCTTAGAAATTAGAATACAACGAAGTGTCATGATCACTTGGCATTGTCTCATCAAGAAGACAATGTTACGAACCAGCTCTTGCAATATAACCATCCAAATTCAGATGAATGCTTGTTGTCTTATCATATCACTCATCTAAACAGGACATAATTCACACCATATTGGATGTGAGAATAAATATTTTTGAGTGAAATCAAAAGCAAAGCTGTGAAGAAAGTTATGCCTAAAGTGGGCAATATCATACCATTATGGAAATATCTGTAATCTGAAGTACGAAGGTACTATTGTCCTCAACGATTTATATTGTCATTTATGGTTATAGTAGAAATATATTTGGATAGACTCAATATTGATAAGATGGAAGAATTCTTGGATGACAGGTATTCTTATCGACCTACAACCAACCAATGCTCCGTTACTACTCTCTACAAGTATAAACAGAACATGCAAACTCCAATTTGAAAACATATTTTCCACGAATCAAAGTAATCAGATAATTAAAGAGATAACAAAAGAAATTTAGAGTCTGTTTTCTCTTCTCAGGTTTAGTTGTTGATCTAGATATATAGATTTCAACACGTCTAATATCTCAAAAACTATATTAACTTTATCATCTTACAGTATTACATTGATGCATTATGAATTAATTTTCACCAAAAAAAAGACGAATGATGGAGAAAAAAGCAGCACAAGGTCTTTATACTAATCTCCATTTATGAAGAATTCATTGGTCAATGATCAAATAATGACATACGTTTTATCACAAATTAACAGCAAGAAAATTAGGATTTACCTGTATCATCGAGTTCCAGGGGAAAATCCGTCCAGTACTCTGGCCGCGAAGAAATATCGGTCACAAAATTTAGAACCTCATCCGTAATTCCCGGCGTACCGCCAACAGATTCGTCTTCAAATTCCTCATCCTCCTCATCATTGGCAGAATGACTCTGAAACGGAAGCAAGTTAGAAGCAAACCTGGATATCTCTCCAACAGAGAGCATCAAGAAGCCGGCTCTCAAGCTGCCGCCAATCTCCGCCAGATCATTCCGAATTCCTTGAAGCGCTTGCGACGCCAACGGAGAATACGAACTCGAATCGGAAGAATCGACGGCAGCAACGACCGCCACCGCCGGCGGTGACTGTGGAGCGAGAAAGTTGGCGACACCACGCAGCTGGCGGCTCAGCGATTCACCCAGCGCGGAGAAGTCGTCTTTAACAGAAGGATTGGCGGCGGTGAAACGGAGGCATTCCGACGACGACGACGAACTGTTCGATTGCAATTCGGCTGCGCTATCATCATCATCATCGCTGGCTTGAAGAGCCTTGAAAAACCAAGACATGATTCCCTCCTACGACAGAATTAGAATTCGAAAACGAAAACGAAATTGAAAGAGAAACAGAGAGAGAGCATATCGCAGAGCTTTGGAAGTGGTGAAGAATCTCGTTCGTTCCTTATTCACCGTATCTCGTATCTCTCAACTCTCGCGCTCTGCCAAAAGTCACTTTCAAAGTTCTACTTCTGCTTCAGTTTCATCTCTAACCCCAAAAATGCTTATTTCCAAATCTTATTATCCTCTGCGAAACGTTCCAGAATAACCACCTCTATCACACCAAATCTCCACCGTTGGGTCCACTGGCATTTTACCACGTCCCCTTCAAGATACGGAGCTTAATTAGCGAATCTGATTTTTGTCCATTGGAGATAATTTTTACGTTTGAAATTTGAAAAGGGAGAAAATCGGGGAATGATCTATTTTGGGCTTTTTATTTTAATCTCAACTATTTTAAATTGTGTTCATGTTGATTCAGTTAATTTATTTTGGATTTTTGTGATTAGATTTTTTTTTCATAAATTTAAATGTAGTTACGATTTACATCACAAGAAATATATTAAAAAAAAGGTCTGTAGAGTTTGTTTTTATTCTCTGTTTTGGATGGATGTGGTTAAAATTTTCATGTTTTAAAAGTAGCAAAAAAAAAAAAAAGGCCAGCTCTACTATCTATATGTATTATGTATGTATGTATATATATATATATATATATTTTTTTTTTTTTTTTATAGACATCCGTAATTTACCATTTTAAATTTTCAGGTTATATATATATAATTTAAAATTTGAGACATTTGAATATTATAATATTTTATAGACGTCTATTATTAATATAATTTACCATTTTAAATTTTAAGGTTAATAACAATATTAGGGATGACATTAGAGATAACAATATGAGATTTAAAATTTCATTATAATATTTTATAGACGTTCTATTATTAGTATAATTTACCATTTTAGATTTTCAGGTTTGAAGAAATATTTTCTATTATCAAAATACTCCATGATGATTCTTCTACCGTATGATATTTTAATTTATATTTTCTTAATAATTTAGTTAATACATTTATTAATTATTGAATTTTAAATTTGTAATATTTATTAATCAATGATGGCAATTAGTTCCTTTATTCCATATTTTCTTTTAGTGAAGTATTTAAATCAGGTGAAACTAAAGGGAAAAAAGAGGAACAATATCTCTTGAATAAATTGTGGACTTCAGCCGTGAAGGGACACCATTCAAAAGATCTTTTTTTTCCAAATTCTATTCAGCTATTCTTGTTATTTCTACCCCATTTGTTATGACATTTTAATATTTATTTTCTTAATAATTTGAATTTCATTTAAGGTAAATATATTTATTAATAGTTAAAATTTCAAATTTTGAATATTTATTATCTTATTTTAAATTTATTATTTCCTAATAAATTAATCTTCATTTAAGTCAATATTAACACTCATTAATCAATGATTATTTTTTAAAAAGATGAATTCATTAATATGAATCAATTTTTTTAAGGAAAAAAATTCATACTAATTAATCAATTAAGTTTTCATTCCATAATTTTATATTAACCTGACGTTATTGACTTTATATTTCATATATTTGATATATACATGTATTCCATTATGATTTGTATATACAATTTGAGATCACTATGATGCATATAATATAATTTGTTATATACTTTGATGCATATGATATAATTTGTATATAGCAAATAAAATGCCCCTCCAACTCAATTTTGAACTTCCTTTTACTAAAAATGAAAATCCTAGATAAGAAAATTGATAATTAAGAGGGAGATTTTTTCTTTTCCTTGAGTTCGAATTTGGAAGATAATTTCTAGTTAAATTTCATTTGAAAAATATATATATATATAAGAATTAAAACTTTTTTTTTTTGTAAAATTTAAAAATCAAAATAAGACAGCTATATATATTTTGTTTTACAATGACCAAATCATTTTTTTTAGGGACGAGGGATGAATGATTGAACTTCAATACTATAAAAATTTACTACCACTTTATTTGTACTGTACTTTGTAGTCCGTGACCACTCCCAATTTAATGTTATCCAAATGTGATGTGTACTATACTTTGTAGTTCGTGACCAATGTAATGATATAGAAACATCGTGTCTTCTCCCTGTTCCCTTGTCTCTCGCCGTCGAGCATGAAAACGAATTAAAAAAGATAAAATTAAAATCCTTAATATTCTGAGGCAAATGATAAAAATTCAAGGATATGAATATCAAAGTGGGTTTTGCATAAATTTGCTACATACTGACATTTTACAAAGTCCTATGATCCATAAATGAATCCTAGAATAAGAAAGAAAGGACAGAAAGGAAGAAAAGAAAAGAAAACTATGCAAAAAATAATAATAATAATAATAATAATAATAATAATAATAAAAGAAAAACAAAGAAAAAAAATTGCCTGCTTAATCATTCACAATAGTGAAGCAGGTTACCAACAATTTTGCCAAGCATCTAAAACATTATTACCATCTTTCATGACACAAATAATCAATCCAAAGTTTGTCTCACTAATTATTATAAAAAGAATCTCACCCTAGCTAACTTGACTACTGCACATACACAACATATTGTACATCTGTATACTCCACATTTAGCAGTCCCCAATCCAAAAAATGCTTCATCATTCACCTTCCTATCAGAGTATGTTCTTTTGAAGATGTTAAATGAGACCAGTATATGGATTGGAAGCGTGAACAGGCATACCCGGACCGTAGTGGTAGGTATTCGGCCCATGAGGATTTCCAAAAGGATTCGAATGTTGTGGCGGAGGAGCCATCATCATCATCTGCTGCTGCTGCAACATGAAAGCTTGCTGCTGGTTGGTCATAGCTGCCATTTGTACTGAATGAGGTGCAGCCACTGCAGTTGAGGCGAAAAAGGGATCGTGGACTGGCTGCTGCCCCATGGGACCGGGCCCCGGGACTGGTTCCCATGGATTGTAACTTGTGTTCTGATTATTTCTTCTGATTGCATCATCATATAAGCTGTCTAATGTAAGCAAGTCCAACCCTCCGGCCTTTTGCAATCAGTTCAAAGCATTATCAGAATATCATAAATTTGGGCAAAGAAAAAATGGAATATTGTTTAGAACAGCAGTAGAAGACTAACGATTTTCTGGTCATAACTAGATGAAATGATAAAATACGATTAGTACAATGCTACCGGTTACATCAGTATAATGTAAACATTCAATATAAATGCGAAACTCTTTGTCTAGTGGATATATGCAATGAAGTACCAGTTTGCTAGAAGCAGCTACGCTTTCATTTGAGCTTGGTGCCGTAACAAGTGCCAATTCCCAGCCTGTAGTTGTTGTACCATTCACTTGGCTTGGAGCAGAACTTGGTTGTTGATCGGCTGTGATCACAAGCAGTAAAAGTACAGTGAGCTAACTCCACGTGTACACTAATTCCAATTTTCCACATACAAAGCAACTTCTAAAAAATTTTTGGAATACAATCACTTCAAATTTGGCTTCTCACGTGGGGCACAATGTGTTTTCTATTACTACTGAAACTTTGAAGAAAATACAGAAAGAAAGAGAGAATTACCAACTGGGACAATTGCCAATGCCATTGAATTCTTCTCATCTAAATTGGAAGTAGTTTCGGGAACAGGATCGTTCAAACCCTAGCCAAAAAAGGATAATCATCTCGCTTCAGATGAATTTTTTAATTAAAACGTATATTTCAAATATGTGTTATCTATTTTTGTTTCATTTGTTACTGAATACTTTAAGCATCTGTTGATTTGAAAAGTTCAAAATATCCACCACATTTACTTCCGGAGATTCTGAAGACTATATAGTTTTTTAAGCATTAAAATAAAAAATAACACCAGATATGTAAAAATAAAATTGAGTTATTAGTTAATTTAATATGTTATATATTTTTCAAAAAAGCATATCAGAATTATGATAAAATTAATATATTGTTAAATTCATAACCGTTGACTTTTTTTTCAACACAAAAAATATTTTCAAGACTTCATTGTTTATCATTTTTCTAATTTAATTTAAAATTCATGATCATCATTTATCCAATTTTGGTAAGAAAAAAATTCGTGGAGTTCTTTTTACATCATATACCATCCATGTGGTAAAAATTATTAACTATTAGTGAATCATGGTCATATCATAATCTATAAGCATTAAGAGTAGATTAACTAACAACATAAGCTTACCAGCAAGTCAGGTTGTTCAGTCACGGGTGGTTCTACTTTCACTGGTTCAGGTGGTGCTGGAGATGTGGCCGGTGGAGGTGCCACTGGTTGTTCCACCTGACCTACCGGTTCCTTCTTATCCTCGATAGCCAAAACTTCTTTAGGGGAAGCCAGTTTATTATCAGCAGCCTGCTTATGATGATTTACCAAAAGTAGTTCAGGTGGATTATCATAGCCATAGGATTATATGAGGGCATATCTGAGTACAAACAATTTCGGAAAGCATAGAAATCAGTATGAAAAAACAAGCACTACCTGGTCCCTACAAACTGTTGAAACCCGTGGAGCTTCTCTCACATATTCTTCCATGGCTTGTAAAAATGATGCAGGGGGCTTCAAAAATAGGCACGCGGCATATGAAACTTAGCTTTCTTTTAGGGAAAAACAGCAAAAAGACAGATAGCACAGGTGGACAATCTACCTGTTCAATCTTCATAGACTTCTCACCACGCCCAATATCAAGACTTTTACAAACTTCATAGAATTCAGAGAGCCTCTCTGCCTGCAAAAAAAGAGAAAGTTACAACAATTTCTATGCAACTCTATCTTGTGCACTAGTATGAGTTGATGAAAATCGCAATCCTGGTATCAATACCTGCTGACCAGCCCTCCTGTAAATGTCCAGGGCTCTCATTGCATCTTGGCGTTGCATCTCAAAAAACTGAATACTTAGACCAAGTTAATTTCAGTTTCTGCATTTACAACATGCTTTATCTGACAATCATATCAATTCTTACCTTGTCAACTAAATTGACTGTACCATCACTGATGGCCTGATAAATTTTAATGCTCTCAGAAGCAACCTACAGAAAGATAGAAGACATGAGAATGAGAAGGATCAAACATGCAAACGAGTAAAGCCACAGCCATTTTACTGGGCATGCAAGATTGTAGTGTAGGAGGTTCTTACCAATGTAAGTGCCAGCCGTATCACAAAATTATGAACTGCGGCTCCTTGTGGCTGCAGAAAAGTTAAACATTATTCCACAATAAATAATAAAAAATAATGGGAGTTTTTATATTTAAAAATAAAACCATAGCACATATTGTTTTCGGTAATGATAATAATCATCTACTCATTGAGAGAAAAGTAAGTCTAACTGAAT